CCAAGCACTCCACCACCACCGAGGTTGCCCCCAGCTCGTCAGTCACCACCACTTCGACCACCTCGTCGTCGCATACTTCGTCCCCGACTACCTCATCCTCGACTTCGACTTCTTCTACTACCTCAGCTACTACTTCTTCCACGACTTCTTCCGCCCCGTCTAGCACCACAACCACCACGACCATTTCGACCACCTCCACTACTTTGTCCACCACCACGACTACTTTGTCTACCACCACCACGACTACCACTACCTCCAGCAAGACTACCACCACCACTACCAAAACCACGACTACCACCGCCGCCGCGACCACCAAGGCGACCACGTGCAAGACGGCGTCCCAATGCCCCAAATGTGGTCTCTTCTCCAAGGGCAAATGCAGCGGAGGGTAAGTTCATCACCGGCTATTATCACTACCAGAAGCAGAAGTTAACTATATCCATCAGTGTGTGCAAATGCTAGCCGAATCTCAGGGATTTTCGACACGATGAAGGGAGACTGCTAAATGAGACGAATGTACCCACCCCATTACATTCTTGTGGACATAAATTGGTAGACTTTCATGCCTGCCTACGGCAGCGTGTATTAATAGCTTATCTTCTCCACATTCCTTCTTCTAAAGAAACTGAGAGATCTTGAGGTATACAGCCACAGAATCAGTAGTATGTTGCTAGATCAGGCCTTCTCCGCGGCAATCTGCTTCTCCAGAATCACCCTCAACAGCCCCTCCACGTCCTCCTTCTCCATAAAGACCTCCACCCACCGCAAGCCTGTCCCATTCTGGATGGCATCCTGCTGTAGCACCGCGTCCAGCTCTTCCCAGTTGTTGGCGGTGAAGCTGTTCCGGGCGCCGTGGCCGTCCTCCGCCCCGAAGAAGTCCGCTGCCAGGTGGTGCCGCCACCGGGCCACGTCGTTGTACGCCTGTTTCCGGCCGTGGATCGCCCGCTCGATCGTGTACCCCTCGTTGTTGAGCAGGAAGATCACCACGTCCAGCTTCTCGCGAATGATCGTGCTCAGTTCCTGGACGGTCATCTGCAGACTGCCGTCGCCGATGAAGAGGACGGCCCGCGTGGGCGTGTTCGGGTTCAACTCGCGTTGCGCCAGCGCCGCGCCCAGGGTGGCGGGTAGCATATAGCCGATCGACAGCCAGGTGATGGCGCCGAACAGTCGCGTGCCCGTCGGCAGCGTGAAGTCCCGGCCGCCGTAGCTGGCGGTGCCGGTCTCCGTGAGGACGACGTCGCCTGGGCGGAGGAGGGAGTTGACACGCCGGTAGAAATGTTTCTGGGTGATGCGGCCGGTCGGCGGGAGGGATTCGGTGGGAATCACGGTCTTCTGGGGCGGATTGGTGGGCTTCGAGATGCGACCGAAGTCGAGGCTCTGCACTAGGCGCGTGACGAAGGCGGGCGACAGGTCGCGGTAGGTGTCGTTGCCAATGCGCACGGCCTTGTCAGTGAAGGTGATGGAGGTGGCGGGGTTGGGGAGGGTCTGGAAGCCTAATGTGTTGGTGTCGGTTGCGTGCAGCCCAAACTCGAGGATCAGGTCCGCCTGGTCGAAGTAGGTCTTGTGCTTGGGGTCGCCCAGGCGACCGGCGTAGTTGCCGTAGACGTTCGGTTGGTGTTCGTCCACTAGGCCTTTGCCGGAGACAGTGGTGAAGGTTGGCCAGGAGGTTTGGCGCACGAGAGTGTTGATTTCATCCAGAATGCCAATGGCACGACTCTCGCCGTCGACGAGGATCAGAGGCTGTTTGGCCGTGTAAATACGGTCGGCGATGCGGGTGAGTACGGTACTCTCTTGCGCAGTGGTCGGGGCAGCCGGACGCTGGACGTTGGTGGTAAGATTGGCGGCCGACACCAGTACACCTGGCATGTCGTCCGGAATCTCGATGTAAACGGGACGGCTGTGGATCAGAGCTTGCTGCAACACCGTGTCAATCTGCTCAGGTACGGTGCGAGGATCGCTGAGATTGGTCTGGGCAATAGTGACGTGGGCGTGCATGGCGGCAAAGCGGCGGTACTCGCCGTCGGCAAAGGTGTGATGCACCAGGGCGCGAGACTCCTGAGATGGCCGAGGAGGTGTGCCCACAATGTGGACTACAGGCGCTCGTTCTGCGTATGCGCCGGCAACCCCATTGATGGCGGACAACTCTCCGACTCCAAAAGTGGTGATCATGGCGGACAAGCCGGCCAAACGCGCGTATCCGTCGGCTGCATAGGCGGCGTTGAGCTCATTGCAAGTTCCTACCCAGTGTAGCCCCGAGGGTTCGACATAGTCCAGCAAGCGCAGGTTGTAGTCGCCGGGGACGCCGAAGATGGAGTTGACCCCGAGCTGCTGTAGTCGGGTGAAGAGATAGTCCGCCAAGGTGACGGTTTCGCTATCGGATTTGGTCATGGTGGCGATATGATGGCGAGGTGTAAGAACGCTGGAAAAGAGGAGAAACGAAGTGAGGAAGTGAGAGAGGGGAAGGAGGGGAAGGAGGGGGTATGGAAGGACCTTAAATTGAGGCAAGTTGGAGATGAATGGAGTGAATGGAGAACAATGCCGATGGGCCGAAGCCACGCGATCTTATCGCCGATAACGAGGGGGAGGCGGCGGAGGTTGAGCCCACCAAGATAACAACCAGTGGCTGAGAGAGTAGGCAATATACAGCCTATGAAGAGTAGCCGGATATTTGTCACTTGCAAGTAGTGATTCACTGGGGTGTGTTTCCAGGACTTCACATGGAATGACAGTGGGTGTTGACAAGGTGAAGATGGAAGATGGAAACTAGAGGCGAAAGCGTAACAACCGGGAGCTTCCCCGCTCAACCGCGGGGGGCAATTTCCCATTAGAGCAGGCGGTAGCCAGCCTACGCTTATCGTCGTTCTTTATCGGTCCGCTCTTGCTATCACGTGCTTTCTTCCTCTGACCGCGACTACCCGAGGCCACCCGTTTTGCCTACCGCTATCTTTACCGCTTTTTCTTTTCTACCGCCCTGAGGGTCTCCCATCCCTCTCTGGTTCTGCCGCGTTAATCTTTCCCCTCCTCCAAGATCTCCATCAACAACACTGCTTGCATTTCCACTCATTCCATTCCATTACGCGCTAGATGCGCATTGTTTAGCTGTCTATCTGTCTAGCTGGCTTCATGCAGCCAAATTGAGACAATGCAAACATCCACCTTCTCCCCCGCCATTGAGGTCATATCTCTTCAAGAGGGCAATCCTACTCCCTTCTCCCATCGACGCGTCGGCAATCGGGGAAAGACATACTGCAGGACTCTGTGATGGACCATGCCAATCCCGGTCGGTACCAAAGTGATGTGCAGAGCTGATCCTGACGTGGTCGAATACTATGGCCAGCTGATCGGCGGAGAAGCGCCAACTAACTTACATGCTACTACGTACTATGTAGTAACTAATGCATGGGATCGGACTGCCGATCGAATCCTCAGCCCTCCTCGATTTCCGATCCGCTTAATCTCACAGCCTCTCAGCCTAGGCGACGACCTCGATGGAAGAAAAATACCCATGATCAACAAACCTGATGAGGGTTTCACAGATCAATCGTGTTGCTGCTTGTCTGTCATGCACTGCTGATTCCACTGAGGGGGGTCACGTAGACTCCATGCCTGAAATTTGGATAAGCTGCTAAGCTGCATGGTCTGGTCTGCGGGGTCATTTGGAGCTCTGGTGAATCACAGACAGCGTGCTTCCCTGCACGTCGAGCCAATGCGTCACAACTAGATGCACACTCTGGCGACTGGGACAAAGAGACGGAGCTGAACTCGTCGAGTCGCAATGCAACATCACCGCCGGAAAGGGAACTTCCGGTTCTAGACCATGGCTAAGTGCCTTGGTTGTTGCGCCCTAGGACTATCTGAACGCACGAAGCGAGGCCTATAAGAAGGGCTCACATCTCGTGGCTAAGAGCACATCACAAAAATCAACTCCCAAGTTCTACCAGACCTACAATCCGAACCCATATCTCAACGTTCAACTCTCAAATACACACCATGTCTAACAAAGAAGAAGTCAAATGGGTATGCCTAGGCCTTCGTCACCTCTAACAAAGCAGCAGTTGACCGATCACGCAGGATGCCTACTACTCCTGGGGCTTTCTCCAGACTCTGATCGAGTTCTTTCATGCTTCCGTATGTCTTTTCCCTCCCGCATTATTCTCGACAAGATTGCCCCGAATACTGACCACTGAATTTCACGCGAGCAGAAAGAGAAGAAGACGGGCACGTAGTGCTCTTCATACATGCCACAGCTGCAGCTAACCTTTCTGGGTAGGCAATTTCGACCTCGACCAGATCGCCAAGTATGTATTCAAGGGCGATAAAGAGGATGCCAAGAAGTTTCTCGAGGTCTGTGATGCCAACGCAGATGGCAAAGTGGACTTTGGCGGTAAGTCTTCCCATGTGATAATCAATTCCTTGCTGTATCTGTCGAAACGTCATGTTCTGACTGACATGGTCCAGAATTCCTTCAAGCCTTGCTGGACGAGGACGCCAAGCAAAACTACAAGAACGCGCTAGTCTTGTATTATCCTTCGGACACCGCCTGAAGGCAACGCGTATCCCAATTGTCAATTTTACCTGCTATATAACATCTCAAATGGGAGCACTTACGGGCTTGTGTGACATTTTTAAAGGTTGTTGCGTATGAGCTTGACCGTAGAGAAAACACTGCAACCTTTCAACTACCCACTAACCTGCCATTAGCTCGGCCGTGGAATCTCGTCCTAAATCGACATGTTTCTGTCGACACTTGCATGCTCCTGATAATGTATCCCTAGGCAGCGGTAGCCTAGTTGATCCTTCTTCCATTTATTTACTAATCTTTATCTATCTCTCTATCCCTCTTCTCTAGATGGACCAATTTATGACTAATTAAGAAATTATGATTTGTCCCCGAAATTAGCTACGAGACTGTCCAAGAGAGTATGAGACGTGCTTAGAAGAATTATCTCAATGTACAACAAAGATTACGATGACACCTGATGGGTGAAAACCGGGCGACATTAAACCTCCTCCCGTTCGCTGGCAGTGCTCGAGTTGGTCAAGCGGGAGCTATCAATGCGGATCACCGTGGTGGAGTGGATGCTCGGCTTCTGCTCCATACTCTTCGTCTTTGACCGGTAGGAGGAAGGCAAGGAGAAGGCATTCTTGCGCCAGGACAGATTCTTGCTCCACTCGGGGCGAGGCAGCATGGTGAAGAGGGGCCGCATGTTGGAGAGGCAGGCGGCGGTGATCCCCATCATGGGCTCGATACACGTCCAGACACTTGCAGTAACTTGGTCATCTGTTACCTGGTTAGTGGGGGACAGAGTTATCGAGATTCCATTAGAGGGGTTGGGGGGTAGCTAACAGGTGATATCGCCTCCTGCCTCCGAAAGCTGGACCATCACCACCAGCCGCACGATGTCGAAGGCAAGGGTTCTGCAGGGGTCAGTTCTGGTGCCGCGCAGGAAGATATAAGATGACGTACGTGGTACCAATCAGGAAAATTCCCGACAGCATGACTTTCTGCGATCGAGGGACTTGCAGATTCCAGACGGCTTTCATCGGCAACACGAGAATGATTGCGTCAGTCAAGATGTTGGGGATTTGAAGACCGTAGTAGAATTGGGCCAGGTTGATGCAGCCTCCCGGGAGATTGGGCTCCCACAGCTTCTTGAAAGGCATGCAGGTCACTGCCCCGATGAGGCAAACCCCAAAACACCAGAGAATCACGATGCATGCGACCACGTTCGAGGCTTGCATCATCGGACGAATGGAGAAGATTCGTTTGTAGAGCGCGAGGATAGAGAGTTTCACAAAGGTGATGCACAAGGTGTACAGGAATGTGCCGGTCGATAAGGTCTATTGACATTTTGGTCAGGGCGTTGATTCAGATCATGTCAGAACAAGGGGAATGACCTTCATGTAGACCACGAGTTGGTCCGGAGATACGTAGATGATGTGGGTTCCCAAGCCGTTGTACAAAACTAGTTCCACATCAGCAAGCAATCCAACCGGAAATCCCACCTTGTCGACATACGAACAACCCCTGCCACCGTAATACCATATTCGAAGACCTGGAAATAGTTGCTGGTCAGCATTAGGGAGATAAGGCCGCAGTTGACGCTTGGTTACTCACCAAGGCAACAATCATGAGGTAGTCATCCAAGAAGACCTTGGTGCGAGTGATACGCCGACACCACAGACGCAAAGCCACAGCCAGAGTTGAGACTACCAGCGCGAAACTACTGGCTGTAATCACCACATGCCGCAGGTTATCATGGTCGTATCCCTGCTCTCCCTGCGCGAGTGCACTCTTCATGATGTGGAGTCAGGTTTGGAGGATGAAGCGACAGTCAAGCAACAGGACGCAAAGCAGTACAGTAGTCCCCGGGCGCGTCAGGGGCCTGCTGGACATTAAAAGTATGGGCAGGCGTGGTATGAACGACCCCTCATTATGGTGTGGTGAGCTCGCTTAGATCGAAACCTGCTTCTTGCAAGTTGATATCACTTCGAGGCAGTCGCAAAGTTACGATAGCCATTGCTCCGCAATGCAATGATTATCTGGCGATAAGTACCGCCACCATGGCTCGACAGGAGAGATTGGTCACGCCGATGCGGTCACTGCTTCAGCACACGGAATTGTCATGCTGTGATCTGTCAGGAATATAATCTACCTGGAACTCCTTGCCGAAACTAAATGCAGTCGATTCCCGCCGAAGATCAGCGATCCCAGCACTGCATCGGGTTTGCGCATACGGATATATCAGATTCTGCGAGAAGAGACACAACGGCACCGATCATCACGATAAACCAATCAATCTCGATGATCGCAGGGCGTGCAGTTGTCAGCGATATTACATCCTGAGCTTGGTGAGTTGAGACTCGCTTGGACATGTAGAGCCAATGACTTTTCCTACCCATCCAGTTAGGGTTCCCTTTCCCCCGCGTTTGAAACCTATCTACTCTAAAGAAAGCTCCCCCGGAATGTACAGTAATCGTATAGATTATCGTGACACAACCCCTGCATGGGCCTTGACGGCTGCCCTGAGACTCTTCATGTCCATTCATCTCCAATGTGGTAGTTTCATGCAAGGGATGGCTGACTGACTGGCGTTTCCTGGAATTCATTGTCGAGGTTGGCACTTGTTCCTGGCATGATCGCCCATTCTTATTTCGACAGTACTGAAACAGGAAAAGGGGAAGGAAGATAGTTCCGAGAAGCAGCAGTGAATTGGTGCTTTGCTTGCTGTTACCGAGCTGGGGGATGAGGTTCTTCACTCTTTCCTGGAAGCTGATCTGAACTCCTTCCAGACGCAGATCCAGTCATCATGGATTGACCACACGTCTCTACCCCCTATTGCTACATCTAGAAATCTTTTCGATGGCCAGTTCGACCATTCCTCCCCAGTTCTCCCCGTCGGATTCCCAGATGTGTGGTTCGATAGGCTGATCGTTTGCGTCAACAGTTGACCGAACTTTCGATTTTGAAGAACATGAACGACTGCAGCAGAAAGATCGCGTTGCCGACCGAAAAGAATCAGGTTTTGAGATTGCAATCCTCCCAGGAACTGGCGTCAACAGGAAACTGCTTTGAAGCATGCATGTCTTTGTGACGATCAAGACACAAACAGCCCAGTTTCAGCGCCGGGTCTCTGGAGCATTGAGTTGCCAAGAAGGCTCATGACAGGCGAAAAGAAATGTCACCTACCCAGGTTTTTCAAGCACGGTCCAGCATTCGCACCTCTTCGAGCTCCTTCCAGGTCTCCGGGGTGTCAGATATCTCTAGAATATGGGGTTCTTGCTTGGAAATACACGGGAAGCGAACCATGGGTGTTCGTGAGATCGAGCCCGACGACATGCGCCTTCGTCGTCACCACCCGATCTCTGATCCGAAAACATCTTTCTCCAGGTGGTGCCTTTTCCACGATATCTTGCTAGATCAGGCAAGAGATCTTGTTTACCAGAAACTCAGAGGGCTACAGCCCGCCTCGCTGGAGTGAATTTATGATCCCTGAGATGCCACTCCAGCTCGTTCCCTAAACCTCAATCGCAAGACGACAGCGAGAGACACCCACATACGAGATGACCGGCGAGAATGATTCACTGAAGCCCACTTTGGCCAATTGGCCCTGCACCTTGCCACTGTTTGATTTCAGTCAAGTGCCTACGCGGCGGCTGCTACCGGAATATCCCACACACGAAGCTCAGATCTTCCTACCCAGTGGAACGGTGGCTGCCTTCCGTTCTCTGGTGCGCCAGATGGGTGCTACCGAGTTCCATGGTCACTTAGCGATACTGCAAGCCCTTTTGGCACGGCTCCTGGAAATCCGCGAGGGCTGCATCGGAGTCGCAGAGCCTCAACGTGGAGGTCGAAAAGAAGTCCAACCGCTTCCCCATTGCTTCAACATCGCACCTCAAGACACAATTAACGAGGTCATCCACCGAGCCTGTCGGACTACCCTGGAAACCCTGAAGTATGGGCCTGGGAGGGTGAACGATCTTCTCTGCCTCTATTCAAGGACACACTCGACTCCTGAACACCCACTATTTCAGGTGCAACTGATCTATCAAGATCACCATGCTGGCAGCCTCTCTAATATTTCTATTCAAGGTGATGCTGCAGCTCCCTGCGATCTCGTTCTATACCTGACTCGGCAGCCTGATGGAATTGCCAGCATCACCCTTCGCTCCCCAACGTATTTGTACTCACACGAAAGTCTACATTTCCTCCTACGAGCTTACATGCGCCTCTTCGAGTCTTGTGTAAGAGATCCGCAAATGCCAATTGCACAGCAGTGTTTATACGACGAGAACGACGTTATGGCCGGGCTGGTTTTCGGGAGAGGGCCCCGTCTGGATATCACCGATCCGGCCACAATTTCGAAGCGAATCGAGCAAATGTCGATCGCGAGCCCTGGAGTGGTTGCCGTCAAGGATGCGGACGGGAACAGCATCACATACAAGCAGATGCAGCAGCACATTCAACGCGCAGCAGCCGTCCTTCGCATGAATGGGGTTCAAGCCCAGGGCTATGTCGCCGTATGTTGCGAACCGACCCTACATTCCGTCTGTCATCTCTTGGCGATATGGCGCATCAATGCCATATATGTACCGCTCGATCCGCAGAATCCCTTCTCTCGACTCCAACTGATTTTGGACGACTGCCAACCCGCAGCGATCATATACCACGCCCCAACTGAATCGGTCATTCGGCGACTGAATCTCCATTCAAGTACTCCGGTCTCCATCGCCGAGATTGGCCGTGCCCAAACCCAGGCGTATTCGGACGTGTCCCAGTGCGAATCTGCAGCTTGTGTTCTTTATACTAGCGGATCCACCGGAACTCCCAAGGGAATCCTGCTCACGCATGCCAATCTGCTGCATCAGATTCTGGGGGTGCGCCATCGGTTTCGGATAGGCTGTGAAATTGCGCTCCAACAAAGCTCACTTGGATTCGATGTCTCTCTCGATCAGATGCTTCAGCCTCTGGTGGGGGGCGGCTCATTGATTGTTGCCCCGCGCCGTCTACGTGGAGATGCTATTGCGCTTTCTCGGCTGATGCTGGCCGAGAACGTCACCTACACTTACGCCACACCGTCGGAATATATGATGTTGCTGCGGTACGGATCGGATGCTCTGCACCAGCTGTCCTCCTGGAGGACTGCCTTTGTGGGAGGTGAAGCTTTGCCACGACATCTCATTGAGTTATTCCACGCCCTGCGGCGACCTGGCTTGCGGCTCATCAATCGGTATGGACCAACCGAGATCTCGATTTCGAGCTCATGTCTTGCGATCGATACTTTCGGTCCTGCCTGCATCGATCTGCAACCCATCAGTGTCGGGTGGACCCTGCCCAACTACTCGACATATATCTTCGACCTCGATGGTGCGCCACTGCCCGTAGGGTTCACTGGGGAGATTGTCGTCAGTGGTCCGGGAGTGGCCAGGGGATATCTACACAAAGATGCCCTGACCAAGCAGAGGTTCCGACCGGATCCTTTCGTGGACGCCCCAGACAAGAGTCGCGGTTGCACCATGTATTGGACCGGTGATAAAGGCCGTCTGCTCCCTACTGGGGAGCTTGTGTATCTCGGACGCATCGGCGGCGATCATCAAGTCAAGCTGCGTGGCTACCGCATCGAACTTGACGACATTTCCAACACGATTCTGAACTCTGCAGAAGGACGGCTCGCAGAGGCCGTGGTCTCTGTGCGCGGCTTGCACGACGCCGAAGGGGATCGTCGCTTTCTGACGGCGTTTGTCGTCCCTGTCTGCACGCAGGAACTCGCGGCCGTGAACGAGATGCTGCAGTTCCTCGACGAGCTCGTTGCCAACCTTCCTCTGCCGCCGTACATGCTACCTCAAGTCATCGTCCCAGTCGATGGCCTGCCCCGAAACCCCAATGGCAAGCTAGATCGACGGGCAGTCGACCAACTACCATTGCCCTCCAAGAGGCAGCATGCCATGTCTCCCACGATTTCAGATTCCGAACGCTTCGTCATCTGGATCTGGGAGCAGTGCTTGGATCAATCCGCCCAGACAGCCGTCTGGAGCCCAACGACGGACTTTTTCCAAGCTGGGGGAAACTCCTTGTTGATGGTGAAGGTGCAAGCTTTCTTGCAGCAACACCTGAAGCGATCGGTCCCTTTGTCCACGCTTTTCCAGTCCAGCACGATAGAAGACATGGCCGCGTTGCTGACCGGTGCGCCAACTCCGCCACCCGAGTCCAACATTGATTGGGAGCAGGAAACCCTGCCCGGGCTGGAAGAGAAGTACATCTGCGACGGGAGGAGCCCCCAGCTCGGTCCTCTCCACGCAGAGGGAGGCATCGAGGTGTGTCTGACCGGCGCAACCGGGTTTCTCGGCTCTGCACTCCTGCGATGCCTGGCGGCGGACCCTCACGTGGCGCGCATTCATTGCATCCATCGCCTTACGCCGCCGTCGGTCGCATCCGCCGCGGGCACGGCCAAGGTGGTCCGCTACAAGGGGGATCTCACAGCGCCCAGACTGGGTCTCGACCGGGTGTGTTGGCAGGAGCTGGCTTCGCGAGTCGACCTGATCATCCACAACGGCGCCGACGTCTCGTTCTTGAAGTCGTACCGGTCCCTACACCCGGCCAACGTGCAGTCCACCCGCCACCTCGCCTGCATGGCCCTACGGCGTCAAATCCCGCTCCACTTCGTCTCCACAGCCGATGTGGCCCAGTTGACCGACCTGGACTCCCTACCCCCTCAGTCGGTGGCGCACTGCCTGCCTCCCGCGGATGGCGCAGACAGCGGCTACGTGGCTTCGAAGTGGGCGAGCGAGGTCTATCTGGAGAAGTGCGCGGCTCGGTTCCAGCTCCCCTGCGCCATCCATCGGCCGACCAACATCGTCGGTGAAGGCATGCACGGCACCGATTTCATGCAGGGTCTCATCCAGTGGTCCTTGCGCACACTCCAGCTCCCAGCCCTCCCCCACTGGACGGGGTTCTTCGACTTTGTGTCCGTCACGGACGTGGCGGCGGAGATCACGAAGGCCGCTTTGCGGAGCCCGGAGGACCGAGGCAAACGCCCCGAGATGAACGAGTCGCCCACCTTCCATCATCACGCCAGCACCACCCCGGTACCCGTGGCTCGGTTTCGGGAGTTCCTGGAAGAACGCTTCCGTGCGCCCCTGCGGACGGTGGACGCAGATACTTGGTTAGAGCAAGCGCGTAAAGAAGGCTTGTCCGGTCTACTGGAGAGCGTGGTGGCTGCGACGCTCACGGACCCTAAACCACATCGTATGCCTCGCATGCTGCGCGAGTAATTGGTTTCGTATCCGTACTGGAGGGCTGTGGAAGAAATTGGAAAGAAGAAAAGTGTATTTGTCTAGAAAATGTCAACGCTGGTTAGGGAGGTGGTGCTTGCTGTACAATTGCGACCGTGATTCCTACAGATTCGGCATGCAAAGACCCATTCATTCCCCGATGTCTGGCCGTCTTGTTTGTCTCGTTCGTCATTCGTGTCATGTCCACCATTCAGGATCTACAAGCGCGCCCGTTCCTCGGGCGTCAAGCGACGGCGAGGCGGTCCACCGCGACTGCCGTCTCCCGAGGCGATGGGTTGAGGCGCCACAGGCCACGCCCATTTCTGGCGCTGCTCCGCCGACGCAGTCAGCTCCAGGCTGTCGGCGACGTAGCGACCCAGGACGGGGAGGAACTTGAAGGCACTGTTGGTGATGGTGGTGATTAGCAGCTGAGTTCCTCATCCGGGACCATACTTGCTGGGGGTGTTCCGGGAGCATTCAAGGGTTAGGAGAGATACGTACTGGCCACTTCCGCCCGTCGCGACGAACAAACCCTCATAGTCGGGGTGGTAGTCGACGATGAAGTCGCCCTTGGGGGTGTCGCTGTACCAGCACAGTCGGCGCTGGACGAAGGGCCGGTCCTTGAACCGGGGCAGCCACAGCTCCAGGCCCTCGCGCAGCGCCTTCTCGGCATCCGGGGGCAGGTAGCCGCCCTGGCGGGCCAGCGTCGGGGCCGAGTAGGCGCTCGGGTTCTGCGGCTTGGCCTCGTTGGTGCGCTCGTAGCCGAACCCGTGGCGCGCGATCTTCAGCAGGTGGGTCCCCGGCGTCGGGGGGAAGGTGAACCACCCGGTGCTCAGGTCCAGGATCACGGGGCAGCGGTTGTTGTCGAGCTCGCGGGCCTCGTCGGCCGTGAGCTGCAGGAAGGCTACGGGCTGGGCGACCGAGACGGAGCGGCCGGTCATCTCCAGCAGATGCGGGGTCCAGGCGCCCGTCGACACCATGACCAGGTCGGCGGCGATGCTCTCGCCGCTGGCCGTGCGCACGCCGGTCACCCGCTTCTTGCCGGTCGTCGCGGGGGTGGTCTGCGTCAGGAAGTCGGTGACGGTGCCTTGGGGTCCGGCGCGGAACGAGACGCCGGCCCGCGTGCAGTTGCGCGCCAGGTGGCCGATGCTGAGCTCGGCGTTGGCCCAGCCGGAATCCATGTTGACGTAGCCGCTGGCCTGCGAGAGATCGCCGTGGATGCCGGGGTACTGCTGGCGGATCTCGGCGCCCTGGAAGGACAGGAGATTGGCGGCCTTGCCGCCGAGCTGCTCCATGTTCTGCTTCGACTGGGCGATGTACTCGTGCTCGCCGCTGCCTTGCGTCTGCGTGCACATCAGGCCGCTCTGGTAGAAGTACGGGGCGTACTCGCCGTGCCAGCCGTTCTGCAGGGCGTCCAGCGCCATGCGGGCGTAGAAGACATCGGCATAGTCGGCGCGGATAATGCGCGAGACGTCGACACTGGAGCCATCGGGCACCGGGGCCAGATGCCGGTCCAAGACGGTGATGTTGGTGTAACCCCGACGCGTCAATTCCAGGGCTGTGGACAGACCGAAGACACCTGCGCCGACAATCACAATCGCGGCCGATTTGGAAGGGGGGATAGCCATTTTTCCGGATAGAATGGGAGAATGATCAGCTGTGCTTGTCTCTGAAGGCGAAGATCATCCAGGAAGGGCAGTGTATTATATAGACAGCCTGGAGGGCGTGGCATGTTGCCAGAAAGGGGAGAATTTTTCAGGTCCGAAGGTCGGCCACATCGAAAGCTTGGCGGGAGGAGTGGGCACGGCATTATTATTATCAGTGCAATCCGTCCCCACTCCTACACCGGCCCGGCTGGGAAGAATGCGGAGGGGCTCCATTCTGTACGTAAACAAAATAAAATAATATGCTTACAACTCCCCGTGGCAGTCGGAAGGCAGCTGCGATGGACCCTGGCCGAAGTATGGTACATCAAGCAGACTGAAAAAATCGCTGTTCATCCACTCCGACGACGAAGCCAGCACTTCATCCTCGCCTCCCAGTGAGGCCCGGTTCGGTGGGGACTCGCGCAACGGCACCAGGTATTGCGTGGCGATCTGCTGGCCACCAGGCACAAATGCTAGATGGGACTCCTCCACACTGCTATGAGGTGAGTTCGGGTCCAGCAAATCCCACATCGCCGACCATTTGAAAGGCGGAATGCCACTCGCGCCAGTGCTGTGTCCCGACAGACTTTGCAGATACGCAAGCTTGTCTACCTATTCAACTCAATTAAAATAAAAAAAGAAAAAAAAAATCAAGAAAAGGATAAGAAATCTCACCATTCCAGCAATGTGTGGCCATCGGGTCGCTAGATCTGTCAAAAAGCGTTGGCATTGCTCGAAATCCTCCCGTGCCCGGTCGGCGATGGCTTTCTCACTCGCAAACTGGAACATCCAGTGGATAGACGCAGCGGTCGCCACAAGTTGAGCCAGAAACGGGTCGTTGATCTCAATCCCATGCTTCTCCCACGTTCGGATCAAGCGCGTGGGCCAACCCGAGTGAAGCAGGGCTTGGTCTATGGTTTGTTGGAGGAAGGATGGCGGTTGGAACTTGGACGATGCACGTCGCACATGAGTGACATGGAACAGAGGATGATGCAAGAGGGCTTGGCCCGCGTGGAATGCCACCTGCAAATAAAGCCAGGCCGTCCAGTACTCCTTGTGCTGCAGCAGTTCGCTGGAGGTGATGGTGTGGAAGCCGACGTTCCGATATCGGTGCAGCTGCGAGATCCCCGTCTCGAACTCGTAATACTGCGCAACCAGCGTGTGATGGCGCGAGGCGGCGATCCAGGGGTCATCGGTTGGATTAGCCAGGCGCTGTCGCAGGTACCCCAGAACTTCATACCACAGCCCAGTCACTTGGAGGCAGTAGGCCTGTATTCCCAGGTCTGCAGCACTGCTGGCAAAGGCATTAGGCGCAGAGCCGTCGTCGTTCGCCATGAGGGAGCGGGGCCGTGGGGGGCTGACAGGATACCCTACTCGTCCCAGCGGGTAGCTGTCGATGTGCAAGAGACTCGGGCCGGGGGCGAAGACTCTCTCAAGAATAAACACACTCCAACAACATCGCCTCTGATCATCTCGCGTCGACGCATATTCCGTAGCAGACCCTGCGCCGGTGGGGGACACACAAAGGACCAATCTAGCCGCGATCCCAGCATCCATCCAGACTCGTGCGTGTCGGCCAGCTAAGGAAGTCAGCATGGCTCGTTAGTTCAGGTCACATAGAGGACCGCACCAGCAACATCGCTCAAGGTCATAAGGCATAATGCTTGCAAGACTGGCACCGATGGGGTGCCTTCCGCAGCCAGTTGAATGACTGTGGGACGGGCGGAACGGAGGTACAGCTCGATGGCTTGCGCTTTTGCGTCCCCGTAGAAAGGTAGCTCGACGAAGAGCAAGGTGAGCGCCATGAAGGCTTGCAGGAGGAAGTCGGGATAGTGTCGGATCTGAGCGGAGAGTCTCTCTTTGTCGAACAGAGGAAGCGGTTGGCTATGTACCTTCTCTGTGTACACGTTCACTAGCTGAGCCAGGGCCTCCGGCGGTGGATACAGGCTGTTCCAATAATTGTCTTGAGTTTCAGAATTCACAGTAGAAGAATCAAGGGGAACCAATTAGACGTACCATCGGGATGGGTCGAAAGACTGGGCCTGTGAGATACCGGGGGTAGACGCTGAGGTTTCTGTTTGGCTCTGCAAGATCCTGTGCAGAAATGGTTGAACCTGTGGGGAAGGCATGGCGTCTTGTGGTGCACGATCCGTCAGGGTCCTGTTTCCACCACATGGTCAGTTTAGCCACCTGGGCAGGCAAGGACTCGAGCCAATCACGTACTGAAAAAATCCATCGATGCGTTCCAGACGCGATTCTAGCCGTCGAAGCCGCTCCCGCGTCTCTTGTCGGGACTGTAGCATGTAGAATATCAGAGTCTATTAGATAGTGTCAAGGGAGACGCTTACCTCGGACGAACGAGTGGGTGGGTCACTACTCCGCCCGTACGCGCATCTCTGATTCAGACGTCGACAGAAGGAACATATTGGTCTTTCGCCAGGACATTTGGTCTTCTTCTTCCTACCGATACCGGGGGGTGGGTTATGAATGAGGTCATCCCAATGGAAGTGCCGGGAGTCTTACCGACACGGTTCACAAGCCTGCCGGGCGCGTGGCTCAGGTGTGAGGAGAGGACTAGCCATAACTGTGGCGGTGATAAAGAAATATCAAGGGCTAGAAGGGGAATGTCTTGTGAACAGGAGAAACGATTCTGCTGGAATGAAACTTCGCCTGCCCAGTGGACTACCTTAGTTACACCTGCCCTTGTGAAGCATGGGGGATTGCGAGAGCCAATGGCAGGAGGGACCGTCTTCCGCTCATGTGACAGCTCCTAAGCAGAGAATTTGAGTCCCGCTCACGTGCCCGGCTCACCGTCCGGTGGCCAGAGCTACTATCGATATGCCATCAAGAGGGACAAAAAAGCAATTTGTTCGACGAAGGTGAGAGGGATCGTGTGGATTGGGGAACAATTTACTAGCATTGGGGCAGGTTTTGGCCATAAAGCGGAGGATTAAAAAGGAGGAAGGTGCGAGTGCCCCAGGCCAAAACAAGCATAAAAACAAAGGACGTCCTAGGAGAGGATCGAACTCTCAACCTCACGATTAACAGTCGTACGCGCTAACCAATTGCGCCACCAAGACGTGCTTGTGTCAAGGTCACTCAAACCAGAAAATATATCCCAAAAGCTATGTGGTGTAATCATTCATTCAAGGCTGTTGTCAGTTCACCGTGCAACAGGCAATTCTACCTAAGCCATAATATTGAAATTGACAATGCCATTGCTCTGGCGGTCCTAAAAAGTAGGTATCGAGGGTACAATACTACTCAAATCTCCCTTCCCTCCTTTGGACAGGATTGTTTGTGGTGATGTGCGATTTCTTCTCGAAATATATTCACAAGCATCTAGTTGCCAGCTCCTGACATCGCCCATAATTCCAACCACTGCACACATTACTAAACCCGGAAGTAAGTCACCAGATGAGCGCTTGACTTCTTAGTCCGCATTCGAATCTGAGATGGGTCAAACCAGCATAAGGTACATGTCACGAGCCTGGTTCTATACAAAGCCTCTTGCAATTTGGAGCCCAGTATGCATCTTCTTTCAACTAGCAGTCTACAAAAGACAATACACATCTGTCATTTGTTTGTTGGGGCAGAGCCACAGAGACCGAGTCTGCCTACTGTGCACTCCGCATTGCTAACACGACTGGTGTATATGCATGTCGACTTCAAGTCAAACTCCGACGAACGGCGTTATCACGAGGTCCACAGAAGCCCATGCATCGATGTAACGACACGACAAGAATCCCAGAGAAGCATGATTGTCCTCGACAGACATCGCGAAGGCGAGCTGAGGACAACAAAGCATCAAGAACAGGACCGCCAAGCCCTCGTGTGATCATTCTGAGTCTCAGCTGCGTTCAGCCTGATTCAGGTGCTCTCTAGCTGATTCAAAGGCAGTCGCTGGAAGGAATATCCGACCGATATGAATATAAAGCAGAGTGATCAGCCATGATGGCAGTGTCATTGAGATCACGCACAGGTGCCGCACCGACACCAATTACCACTTATTACCATCTCACACTACCCCACGCACCCTATCGCCCAGAATGAAGATCTCCCCCGTCTCAATCAGCTTCATCATCCTCGCTGCCATGGGTGTGGCTGCTACCCCGCTCAATCATGCCGAATCAGTCGGCGTGAGAAGCGAGAACAACGTTCAGGTCAAATACGATGGAGTCAGTATTCCACAGCTTAGTCGCGAGCGAAACAAAGATCAAGACTGATTCGTTGACTCCGGCGTAGCAATGCCGGAAGAGTGAAAATCAATGCCGGTACACCGCGCAAAGTGGAAGGACTGCTATCTGCAAGTGCCAATTCCGAAAGGTGAGCCCAGCTCGTCCAAGCTCGGTAGTATCTGTTGACTGAGTCCCTTGTAGTGCAGTAAGGACGGCGCCAAGTGCAATTTCGACTCCTACAATAGGGATTGCAACTGCTACTAGTGGTTTGCGCATGGCTGGCTCTGGGCGAAGCTAATGTGTGTCCTGTGGAGCCGTACGGGGTCGCGACGTCGGACTTCTCAGTCAGTGGGAGGGATGGAAATCACAGGTTGTTGCTACTAATTATCTGCTGTCGGAAATTTCTGTTCTTTCTCTTAGTCTAAAGAAACGAGGGTTTTAACTTCCACCGAAGGTAATGGTAGTCGAGCTCAGAGCATGTAGACCGTAGTGATAGCTATACATTGACGATTGGTGCAGGCTGCGCTACACTTCCTCGACAGGCAGCGATAAGAAATAGGTACTCGCAATTCACCACGGCACTACCGCTATTCATGATCAATCCTCTCCAAGCAGAGGCCTCTCAGGCTCATCCTCACGTGCCTCGATGTCTCCCTCTTCAACCGGCATCTCTGAAGCCCAGAACTCGGGCCACTTGACCCGGATAAAGTCGTCGGGTGCGGCCTTGTACGCTCGAGAAACGGGACTGTCCCGATATTCAAGCGGGTGGAGCATCAGCTCCAGGGTGACCCAGGCCTCTTCGGCGAGTTTCGTCTCCTGGGCCTGTGTTGCCTGCTCGTGGATCTGATCCACTCTCTTAATCCAGAACAGCCATCGCCCTGCACTAAGGCCCGCGGGAGCCTTGCGACTGAGCTCCGTGGCCTGAAGAAACAAGGGACCGCCACGGCCCAGCGATGAATCGCACTTATTCCACGACACATCACACAGGTTGATCATTCTCCGTCCACACTCAAAGATCCACGCGCGGATGGCGGGGAGAAAAGCGGCAATGGGCAGGTCGGACAGTGTCTGAGCAGGCCTGGAGGAGTCCGGTGCGGGATCGAGACCTCCCAGTGGACGGTCGGTCTCCAACGCCTCGCGGAAGGTCAACAGACCCACCTCGGTGAGTCGATCTTGCAGCACCCCGGTGGATGCGACTTTGGCCACAAAGTAGGTGAAGTTGAGTCGATGGTCGGCCTTCATCGTGGGAAAGTGCTGGATGAAGTATGCGGTCGTGTCCTCAAGGAAAAAGGGCACATCGCGCCACAAGACCGCTCCTGTCGGGCTTTGAGCCACCTCGAACTCGTGGTCACTGTCCTGCACCAGTCGCTGTAACGGTCCGGACAGCTGAAACCGAGTGAAGTCCAAGACTATCCGATCGTGTTCCGGCGGCTCGTGGGAGATGTTACGCGCCCAGACATGGAATGCGAACCAGAGATCACGAATGGCTGGTTCCAGTTCCTGGAAGGACTCCCCTTGCCAGAATCTATCGGTGATACTGTAGTATCGATTGTAGACGGAGCCGCGCAGCTCCGCCAGATGCCCGCGTCGCACGTCTGCAAGCAGAGACTCGCGATACTCGATGGAGGCCTGAGCGCTCGAGTACTCGCTGTCATTTGGCTCGCTCGGGGGCTCCATTGGAGAATCAGACATGATACACAAGGATGTTCAGGAGGTCTGTAGGGCGGGGATTGTGCCTGATGGTTGCAGGTGTAGCAGCTGAGCAACGCCGCTTCTATATAAATCCAGCACACACATCAAGTATAGCTCTAGGCAGCCATGGATGGCCCGGCTCGTCAAAAGGGTTTGGGACGAACAAAGGGCACTGAATTCACCGCTCTTCGCCAAGTCATGGAGTTGAAATCCCCTGTCAAATCCTCCAACTCATATGGTGCCAAGCCAGGAGAGTGACATCGTCTCGTCCTTGGGTTCGTAGCTCATCCAGGCCGGTTGGCGAGGCTGGAGAGCAAACATTTGTCGGTGTGAGCGCTGAAGCCCTGAAATAGATGGTCTTTGCTAGTGCATAGAGTTCAGCTAGGATATGATGCCAGGAGACCCGTGTAACTGGAGTGACAGCCAGCTGTGCTAACTTCTAACTATCTCATTCCCTCTCTTTGTTCCCTGGAGAGTTGACGAGAGAAGCCGGCAGATACTCACCGCCTTTGGGTGCCTTCCTCGGCAGTTTTCATTCTTCCGTGCCGGTGTAAACAAGCAAAAGAACTACTGTAGCCTTGAGAGTCTAGTTCTATCATGTTATGCACTAAGTACAGTCCCTACAAAGCCAGCCGCTGCTTCGACAACAAGATCGACGTGTCCGTCGTCGCCCCGTCGATAAAATCGTTCATGATTACGATCGTCCGCTCCGCCTGCAGTCGCTCCAGCGCGTTCTCTCGAATCCACGGGAGGGTCCGCGTATCCAACGCGGCCTTGGTCGAGGTCAAACACGACGACACCGCGCCCGCCTCCACCACGCTATAGATCATCACCTCCTTGATGGACTGCGAGGTGGCCTGGCACTGCAGCACCGTCAGGTCACTGCTCTCCTGCCCCTCGGTGGTCATCCCCTCGAACCGCGCGAGAATCGAGTCCGCACTCAACGTCGCGTACGCTTCCGCCGTCCAGCTGTCGTACTTGTCCGCCTCGATCACACAAATCAGCCGCCTGCCAGTGCTCCGGAGCTCGTCGATCGGCTGGCTGAAACACTCGCGGCCGCCCCAGGTCAGCGGCTGCACGGCGGTCGTGGCACACGCATCGGTCAGCAGCTGCCCGATCTGCTCCTCGGTGGGCCGCTCGCAGTCGGCCACGATGTTGTCCCACCGGATATGGATGGTCACGATCTCGGTGGGATTCTCATCCAGGAACGCCACCTGCGCGCGGAGGAAGGCGTCGAAGGCCAGCCCCGGGATACACGCGTGCTGGAAGTAATACGTGTCTGGGAGGGAAGAGATCTTCTGGAAGATGGGCAGGAGCTTGGCCGGTCGGAACTCGAAGTATCGGGCCCCCATGTTCAGCATCACGGCGATCTCCTTCTTCTGAGTGATGGCCAGGCCGTAGACGATGTGCGGCAGCTTCTCCATGAGGAATCCGTCGGGGATGTGCCGGATGTGGGCGAGCATCGGCACGAGCTCCCGCACGGCTGCGAGCATGTCCCCGTCCAGATGCTGGAACACCGCGTCGCAGCTGTCCATGCTGTTCATGCCGTTGTCATGCGGGGCTGCGAGGGCGAAGCGGGAGAAGGGCTTCTGCGCCTCCACGGATCCGACCGGCGCCAGATCGCCCATCCACGCGCGGTTGTCCGTCGAGCAGATGGTCACGTAGCACTGATCCCGCTTCGTCAGGCCGACCTCCCCGCGCCCCGCGTTGTAGAAGCCGTACGTGATGATGGCATCCTCCAGCACGATGGGATGGAAGTCCTGGGTGGACACCATCTCCCCACCGGTGAGCTTGCCCGTCAGGGTACTGATGTCATTGTAGGCGCTGGCGACGACTTCCCCGTCGCGGAAGACCTTCCATTCCAACCGACCGGTAAAGTTGTCCGCCCCGGGGATGTTGGCGGAGTCGAGTTCCAAGCGACGCGGGGTGAAATTCTGGGCCGACGTGTGTAGGACATCCTCTCCCGGGATGGAGAATCCCACCTCGTAGCCCTCGACGGCGAGGGAGATGTAGCTGTAGACTGAAATCCCTTTGCTTGGCATATTTGCTTATTTGGTGGCCCAGACCGGAAACGCAGGCGGCGATGATGCGAGCTGCATGATGGGTGATGGTTGGGAACTTGGGATACGTGGACACAACGCTCCAGCTCCACTTGTGCACCGAAACACTTATCCCGACCGGGCTTAATGAGGGTGAACTAAGGGGGGCTAAGGGGGGCTAGCATCGACTAGCATCGCCTGATCGAACTAACGCATTGCAGTGAAGATATTCCCACTCACTGTCGTCCATGCGGGGTCAGGTGATTGGCCCTCCGGGTGGTCCGATGCAGGGCTGGATCAGCTCATCGATTGAGTCTACTCATCCTTCAAACAGCTCGATGATGGAAGATAGAAGATCAGATTGTGATTGTTCTCACTGTGATACATGCAAAGCCTACTTACTCACCCACCCACCCACTCACTATATGGATATTATCAGTTATATCGACGATTCAAATCAACTCACCCACTCCACAGGTCCCGCCCGACTACGTTCCCAGAATCGTAGATTCAAAAACAGTCAACGCAAAAGAGAAAAAGACAACAAACCCCGAGAAACATACAACACCGGAGAACACCACCCATGCTTGTGTGGCACTACTTCTTCTGCTGCTCAGCAGCAGCCTGCGCAGCCTGTTGTGCCATGATGTCCACGTAGACATGGCCCAGAGGTCCTGCCTCTGGGCTCCATCCCCCATGCTCGACTCTGTACTTGTCATTTCCGTCCAGCACCTCGACGAGGTTGACCCAATTGCCCTGGCGGTTGTCCCAGTGCAGCTCGCAGATCTTGTCCTCGCCGTGGAAGAGGTCGAGGCGGCCCTCGCTGCCGCGGCGGCCGCGGGCACAGATCTCGCCGACGCCGTAGGAGGGGATGCGGAGCTCGTCGACGTCGTCTTCGGTCATGGCTTTGTTGGAGTCGGGGTCGTGGAAGTCTCCGCTGGAGGAGCGTTAGTTACGAATCCTGCTAGCTGCTACGAATAAGGAAAAAGCAAAGACGAACCCTTCGATGACGGTGTGACGGACGGAGATCTCTCCCATGTCGAGGTGGTCCCGGATGTGGAACTGCACCCATTGGGAGTTGTACTTGTCCATGGTAGCCGAGTCCATGATGATGGTCAGTGTGTGTGAGTTGGTTGAGATACGGTTGGAGAGTGGTAGATTAGTTAGACGAAGGGTGAAGCCCTCGAAAGCTGTGAGGAGAGAGAAGAAACGGACGTGGAGAGGGTGAGGGAAGAAAGAGGGTTATATAGGGTTGGGGCATGGGAGAGGACGGGGAAGCCCGCAAATGCTGGCCCAGAACACTGGGAGGTGACGAGACATGGTTCTACCGTGGACGAGGCAGAGGACAATCAGCGAAACAGACGATGCGAAACAGGCGATCCCTTCTGTGCTTCTCTGTGCCAGTGGGAGACAGGAATTAGCGGATCATATGACGGATGGTGGTGGTACGACCTGGTTGGTTCTTCTGTGGGCTGATCCTCGGATCCAGTCTGGCTTTGACTTTCAACGAGGCGAATCTGGGGGAGAAGCAGAGCGGCCTTTGTCGTGCCCTTTGCATTGAGTTTAGCAGTTGCGTGAAAACTGCGGGGTTACCGCATGGCTGCATGAAGATGGTCGCGTCATTCATTTATTCGACGTCCATTCATTGACTCTATTGATTGTTTGGATGCATCGCTTGCTTCCCTTCCCCTTCCCGTCTTCCCTCCCTCCCACCTCTCCCAGTATCTCCCCTCCCAGAGATCATCGTTGGGTCCCTGGATGATTGATTGTTGGACACAATGTAACCATAATCTTGATAAAGTGCTACATGTTTTTCACGGCTTGGATGCTCAGTCGGAGTGCCTCACAGCTACGATGAGGGTGGTCTTTCGATCGTCCGTGGAGTATAAGGATACCTCCACCGCTGGAAGGGACTGCACGCCGGGGTCTCTCGCAGGTCGACGAGTAGGAAGAATGCAGGCGTCTGGAGGCTAGGAGCGAATCCAGCCCACTGGCCACGACACTCGTATCGCGGGCTTCAATGGCGCGTTCGCATGCATCGACCTGGCTAGATGCTGGCCGTCTTCACTCGCTCCCTGTCACATTGTTACACCTGCTTCACAGCGTTGTGGGATATCCACGAGTCTATCCACCCCCCTTTAGATGGCGAAGGAACAGTGCCATGCTTCTGTTCCCAGGAACATGGACGGGTGAGAGATGTCGGTTCACGTGGTGGTTGAAACCAGACCGTCGTGGTCTTTGACACCGACCGCTTGCTCGCGTGACTGAAAGTTCGATGAGACCATGGGGATAGGAGGCGGGGGTGGGGGGGGGGGCTTCAGTAGCCCGCATAAGCATGACGCGATGAAGTCTCCCATCAATGGCCAGTGGCCAGTGGCAACTGGTCTGGAAGATGGACCTTTTCTCGACGATCGGGGGCCCACAGGACGAAAGCATTCGCCTATGGGGAAGGGTCCAGGCAGCCAAGATACTGACGGTGGCAGGTTAGTGGCCGATCGTTTCTCAGTTTCTCAGTTTCTCAGTTTCTCAGTTTCGCATTCCCCGGACAGAACGGGACCTTTGTTCCGGAGAGTGGCATTCCTACCCCGCATTCTGCGGGAAACATTGATGCATTCAGAGAGACAATAGTCTCCCTGTCAATGGACGAGTCACGAGGGAGTCATCGACCCTCCTGTCATGATCTCATCCTTCCCGGCTTATGTAACCGGCTTGGAGCTCCCCCCGCATTTCCACCTTTCCACCTCACCAATCTGGGGAAGCTATCGGCCTTTCGGTACATGGCACTGCCCTGGGCATAGACCATTGCCTACTAGGTCCGGTCACGTCGCTTTCCTTCCTGCCTACCTTGGTTATTCTTATCCCGCTGGCAACCTTCGCTCCCAGTGGGAGATACTAAGCGCGCATCACGTAGCCGCACCCTCATTCTCCCCTCCAAGGTGCCTGAAATAGACTTCTCCATTCCGTGTGAATACATAGTAGCTTGCTTGTTTTATCTCAGCTTGTATACAGAGCTTGTATACAGAGTCAATGCATGATACCTTCCTTCCCATATGGCTGTGGGATTTGTCTTGCCGTGCCGCTGCCCGCGAATTGGCAATACCGTAACCTGGCCGTGGCCATATGCTAGTGAGTATTCCGCCTAATAGAGTTTAGTTGAGTTATACATCTTAGTTATGCTCTCCTGATTAGTAATCTCCAGCATAAGTCTCAAGCACGAGATCACTAATATCTCAATGATATATTTTGTATATCACCATTCATTCACTGAATGGCATCATATACTTTATCTTTCATTTCTTCTCTTTGTTCTTGGTTTATACTTGGTACATGGGTATAGCTACATCTCCTGGCGACCTCGGAAACACCCATATTCCAGCTCAGCTAGTAGGAAACTGGCCCGCATCCTAGTACAATCAGGTGCAGTAGCTCAAAAGGTCAGCCAATATGGTCGACTGGTAGAGCAGACGGAGGACAACGCTAACGTAACGGCGACTACCAACTTATCGCAGGCTAATTAGTTGACGTTACTGCAGTGTACTTTAGTAAGCAATAAATCTCAATCTCGCGTGCTCTCACTGCAATCAGTAAACTGAACTACTACAGTCTTTCACCTCCTGTACCACCCGTCTATTTAAGTCCCGCCTTTCTCTCTTGGCCGCCATTCCCTCTTTGACAATCAACACCTCACACATCAATCATGGCGTTTCCCGCCAATGGGACTCAGTTGAGAGAAGATGATGGTCCGGCAGGCACAACCGACCCTGCCCCCCCTGCCGACGCGCAGCCGCAGCCGCAGCTGCTATCGCATCCGCAAGGACCACCTCAACCACAATCCTCGGAAGAGTTGCGTGCGTTTCAGACCCAGCTTATGGCACTGGAGGCGGAGAATCGTCGGCGGTTGACGAAGCGTCGACTGGCCGAGAGGCAGGCACAACAGCAGCAGCAACAGGCAGAACAAGAGAAGCAGCAGGCTGAACAACACCAAGATCAACACCAAGAAGAATTAGAGCAATCATCGCAGCCACAACAGCCAGTGCAACAGATATATCCACATCACGGCCCCTGCGGGATGTCTCAGCTCCAGTCTCAGCTTCAGGACTTTCGGTTGCAGCAGGCCTTGCTGGAGAGGCAGCGCCAGATGATTCTAGCTCGATTAGCGGAGCAGCAGCAGCAGGAGCAAGGGCAGCACGGAGACCCCAATGTCCCCGGCAGTCCTGCGGTCAAAGAAGAAGAATCGGTCGGCGATGTCGCCAACCGCAAGGTCCCTGTTCATGTCCTCCAGGATTATCAGCTTGGGCTCACACTGCAGCACCGACGCGTGCAGCTGCAGAGCACCTACCGGCAGTCGCGGATCGAGCACCTGCTGGCCCGGCAGGAGTCTATGGAGGACAGCTACGCGCAACTGCTGCTGTGGCGTCTCGAGCGGCCTTCGCCGCGCACGGAAGACGAGGCGGAGATATTGACGGACCTGAAGCGACTGCTGGAAGCCGGGTTGGGGGCGATTCAGGGCGCCATGCAGGAGCCGCCGACCGTCGAGCTTACCGACGAAGACCGGCAGCTGGATCTCCAGTTGATCCAGCTGAATCGACTGCGGTACGCGGTGAGGGACCAGCATATCGCTGAAGGCCTGGTCGAGCCTGACGAGGGCATTAGGAGGACGATGAACACCAGGTTAAGCTCCCAGGAAAGATTCGAGGATCTGAGGTTGCACTTGGACCGTCGGCTCGCCTGACCGGACTACGCCGCCCTTCCTGATGGGAAAGGGCCACAAGCCGAGGGGATATTCTGTACATAACAGTAAGAAGTGAAGTGGACAAGGGAATGATATGGGAAGAAAAGAATTCTCCTGGGACGACTATCCCCTGATGGTCTTGTCGGTAAGAAACGACTGAGATGCACCATTTCAGCAGAGGGCGAATCTGCAACCTGAAGCAAGGTCAAGACAGGCCAGCAAAATCAGGTTTGCGCAAATTCCTGTCACAACAGCCTTGGAGGTTCAGTCGGCCATACGGTGCTTGCTTCGATTGGGAGGGGACATTTCTGTATCCATAGATCACTGCATGTGAGCCGCGTTTCACGGAATATGCATGCATAACTCTCACCACTAAAATCATCGCGTGAGGTTCCGCCCATACCCACAGAATTCAATTTCCCTTCTAGCTGTCACCAGAATAGCGCCAGACTAATCGGCGCATAGGATAGGCCCGACATTAGACACATCTCCAAAACTCGACCGAACTGCCGGGAGTCAATGGCCGAACGGCAGACCGGAAAATGCCTCTGTACCGCGTATCAGGCATCTAACCCGTCATGAAATTCCCACCTGGGATTTACTGAGGCCCCCATCTACTAATCAGGCTGGCCATCTGCCGATAACGTGGCATCGACCTGTCATCTCAGTGGCTCCCCAAAATGGGGCCCTTGGATCCTTCACCGGCCGCGCAGGGTGCAGGATTCGCATTCTTATCGCAGGAGTCGTTAGCGCGGGGTCCCGACAACCTGGCGACGAATGGCCGGCTCGGATTGAGGGCATTGGAGCAGCGAGGAATGCTTAGCTGTATATTTCCAAAAGTATGAAGAGTCTTGCTCGTGTGCCGGTCTGCTTCCGGCTGGCCTTGACCTCGAGTCTCGTGAGATTAGTTCATATATAGCCGCAATGTTGTCCCATTGAGGTGAAAGGATCTGTGCCTCTTTCCCTATCCAACAAGGAAAGTTATCAATCACAATGCTACGCCTTCTCACCCGCGAGCTCAGCCTCTGCTACGGCTTCGTGCGGAGGGATTTGGGAACCGGCCTCCTCCCGGTGCCGTTATTCACCCTGGCCTCGCTCCTGTACCGTCGCGCACCACGCGCAGAGATCGCTCCAGCCATCGCCCGTACGATCCCCCCCCCGCCCCCCGTCTCACCCCGTCCCAAGCTAATCCATCCCCCATGAGCAAAGAAGCCTTCCTCTACGGCTTCCTCTACCTCTACACCTTCGTCGTCTCCAACCAAATCACCGGCGTCCGCGAAGACCGCGTCAACAAGCCTGATCGTCCCATTGCCTCCGGGGCGGAATCCCTCTCCGCAGCAAAGACCCGCTACTGGCTTCTTACTGCCTTGTATCTCGTCCTGGGACACTACCTTGGTGCGACTATCTGGACACTTCTGTGGATCGGCACCACGATCGCGCACAACCCTTTGGGGTTCTCGAACTTCGGGCCCACGAAGGATCTGTGCATGGGTCTGGGGTGTATCGCGCAGTTGAATGCGGCGTGGACGATCGGTGGAGCGTCCGCGGCCATGGGGCGGCACTGGATCAAGGTGATTGCCCTCTACATGTTGTGGCCGATTCCGTTGCAGGATCTGCGCGATGTGCCGGGGGATTTGGCGGCGGGGCGGCGCACGACGCCCATTTTGTTGGGGGATTTTGCGGGTGAGTTCGTCCTTTTTTGTCCTTTACCCCTAGTATATCGGTAGTTTTGTGTGTCAAGGTGCTTCGGTGCTGAGCATAGTGCAGCGCGGGTGTATGTTTCGGTGGGCATTGTGGTGTCGCAGGTGAGTTGTCCTTGACCTCTCCCCTGGCGTATGGGAGGAGTAGGGGCTGATTTCGGTCGATACCGCAGTACTTGTTGATCTACCATCGGATCCTGGAGTATCGATACGATACTTCCACTGTCGCGACGGCGGTGGCGCTGGGGCTGATGACGATCGGGTGCATCTTTCGGCTGTTCGCCTTCCGGTCGCTGACGAGTGATCGGTTCTCGTACTGGCTGTATACCGTCATCTACGTGTGTCAGCCTCTGGCTGCATGCGTGACCTTGCGGTGAAAGATCGGGGGATTGAGGGATCGGGTGGGATGGGATGTGGGCAAAGTGGTAGAGGCGGCGTGACGAAGCATGGCAAATGTCCCGGATGTATAGACATTCACCAATGTATCAGGAAAAGAGCATTTTCAACCAAGACGGTCGGCGACAAGGTGCTTGATGCTGCAGGTTCTAAGGAAGATCACCCGCTGCCCGAGGCATTGGCTCCAAAAGGGCTTCACAGACCCTCATCACTTCATTAGACAATATGTATTATGGCATAATCACATCAGTAGTTGGTCGCACACGTCATGACAAATCTCCGCTTCCTAGAAACACAATGATGCTCCTCTCAATGCTACCTGGCATCGATCACTCCGACTCCGCACTCGACAACCCCATCGTCGAAGTATCGTAGCCCTTCGACTCCAGATACTCCCGGAACCGCACATCCTCATGGGTGATCGTGTCCTACAGCCCGTTAGTCTCCGGTGACACGCGCTACATCATTATGAGAAACGCACCTGAGTGATATTCGGCAGACAGAAGTACGCCAAGAAGGCGCTGAAGATGCACAGCGCACTGGACACGTAGAACGGGTCTTGCCCTTGGCGGGTCTTGTTGGGGGCGTTCCGGACGATGACGGGGAAGACGTAGGTGCCCACAAAGGCCCCAACCTTGCCCATGGCGGCGGCCGTGCCGTAGTACTGGCCGCGGATCGGGGTGGCGCAGGTCTTGGCCGCGCAGAGACCGATGTTGTCGCCGGGGCCGACTTCGCCCATGGCGAGGAAGATTCTGGAGGCCCACCGTGTCAGTGTAAACCTACCAAGTGGGGTGGAAATGCAATACAACTTACCCGTAAACGACGACGAAGGCGGCGACGTAATGGCTGGTGTCCAGGTACGGGTAGCAGCCCGTCATGATCAGGCCGATCACGCCTTGTACGAAGACACCGCCAGCCAGGGTGTTGCGAGGCCCATACCAGTCGCTCAGGAATGCGCCCAGAGCCGAGCCGGGCAGGTAGAAGACGTTGATCACCGTGTTCCAGCCGAGGGTGACCCAGAGGGGGGCGTCGTCGCCGATGATCAAAGACAGCCATTGGGAGGAGTAGATACTGAAGGAGTAGGTCGAGAAATCGTACATGAACCAAATGAGGGAAACCGCACACTGGATGAGATTGACTGTTAATTGCGCTCGCGGTCAATGTGTGAGGCGCATGTGAGGCTTACCCAGCGCTTCCAGTAGAATCTGATTCAATGGGTTAGCCTCGCATCAACAGTCTGGTGCAGGCGTAGGCACTTACTTCACAATCAACCAGATGGGAAACTTGTGCATCTTCTCGCGCGTATACTCGGTGGGCTCCTTGAGCTTCATCCGCAAGTAGATCAGACTGAGCGGGGGGATGACTCCGAGACCCAGACAGATGCGCCAGGCGGCGCGGAGGTGGTTCTCGCCACAGGCCAGCACGACAATCATGGGCACCAGCGAGGAGGCGACCGAGGCCAGATCGAGCTGAAAGTTGGTGAACAAAATAAACCACCGATGGCGTTGGCCCTTTTTCATCTCTCCACTGCTCTCCGCGGCGGCCACTGACCCGGCCGGATATTCGCCGCCCACGCCCAAGCCCAGAAAGAAACGATAGACCGTCAACGCGGTGAACATGCCAGTCAGACTGCCGTTCGCTCCATAGGCGCCAGCACACAGTGCGCCGAACACGAAAAGGATTACGGTAGAGACCATCAGGGTGTTGGTGCGCGACCAGTGGTCGGACATGTAGCCGAAGACCAGCATTCCCACCACCGTGCCGGCAAAGGCGATCGAGGAGACGTTCTGACTATAGGTCGATCCCGCGTAGACGTCGGGGTAGAGCTTATCTAGCATCGTGTTGACCGTTCCGATGACCTAAGACATGGTGAAGTCGAATGTTAGGTGACTAACCAGGACCCGGGGATCATTGTTATGTGATCGACTCACGTATTGCAGGTAGCCGTCGGACCAGAGGCCAGCACCACAAGCAAAGGTGGGCCAACTGCGCTCCCAGAAGGTCTTCTGGGTAGCAGCTAAGGGATCCTCATCGATGGAGCGATGGGTGTCGGGGGACACCGTCAAGTCCGTCTGCTTCTCTTCTTTGGGATCCATGATGAGTGTGCCTTAGGGGGGAGGGATAAGGGAGAGGCAGTTACTCAGAGGTAACAGAGCAGAAGAAGATCTGCAGGTGCAGGTGCAGCTGCCTGAGGGATGGTCAAAGGGTAAGAACCGAAGGTGCGCTGCGGAAAAAACACAAGAAAGAGAAAAGATGGTGGGCAGGGGCAGGTTTTATTCCCTGCAGGTGGGAATCAGCCCTCTCCTTGTCATTTGTTCACCACTGCAGTGAATGCATGCATGATACTAGGGAGACTGATTGCCTAGTAGGTGTTAGGCAGGGCAAAAAAAAATAAAAAAAGTTACAAGTAGCAGGTACATAATTTAGCATGTGACAGCAGTAATGGTTGGGGGTATTGAGTACCTGTTCAGGGCCTGCAAAGGTTGGGAAGTGGCTCGGCCTCGCCGACCCGTACCAAGCTCATTGCCCACTGCCAATCAGCATCCCCTGGCAATCTCCCCCGCAAGACCCCTCAGTGGAGTCGGATATGCGCCTCCACCAATCCAACCCTTGCTCTTCCTCCCACGTGCAAATGCGTCTGCCAGTGACTGGGCCAACATTTCTTCTAGCAGAAGGATTACTGCCCGGGCGAATGCATGACATGCTTGCCTTGCCTACGCATTCACCACCCGATCAGAATTTTCTCAATGAGAGAGCCTTTGCCCTGCATCATGTCTGCTCGCATGCATCGAGACGGAAAAGACATTGAAAGTTCCAAACATGGATGGAAAAACATGTATGATCTCTGGCACAGCTATCAATACCCCCGCCACACGGTAATATCGAAAATGAACTGGAAGAGATAAGATAAACAAACCATGTGCCGCCAGTGCGATAGACAGACCCCCTCTGATTTGTGCGCGTGTCGGTCACCTTTCGCCTGGTCGGAAAAGTACGGAGGGCCCCCACCACCCACCGCAGTCGGCCAGAATTCCTTCTTCCCAGTTCATTCCAATCCTCTCTAGTCATGGTCAAGCTCTCTCCCACGTGCAGGGCTGCATAGCGCCATGCTAAGTTCCTTGGTCATGAACCGATGGAGACGGTTCTCAACATGTTGGAAAGATATATTTTCGGTTGCAGGGGTGTGCAGTTGACCCTGTAGAAGGAAAAAAAAAAAAAAAAAAAACTTTTCCGTGGCGTTCAGCTCAAGTACCCGAGCGCAGAACTAACACCCTAGTTCAATCCATCGTGCAGCAGTGCAATCGATCGATAAGTGGTGTGTGTGTCTTCT